CCCAGAAATTTATTTCAAGATGTTCATATGGTTACTTTGGTTTAAATTTTGAGAAACCACCAAACTGTTTTCCATTTCACATTCCCAGCAGCAATGAGGGTCTTTGTACACAAATTCCTAATAGCCTTTGTGGGGGTGGGTGGGGTGGGTGGAGGGCATCTCGTCATTCTCAATGGAGGGGAAGAAGGAACCGCTCCCCTGGGGATAAAGAAGGAACCCTGTGGGGATAAAGGCAGGAGTGAACACCCTTGGGATTCCCAGAAGGAGGTCAATTCCAACACAAAAGCAACACTAAACAGTGAAGTGACTTTGGCAGGGACCAAATTGGACGATAAAACCATGGTTTCCCCTTAGAAAGAAAAGCCCTCAAAGAGAATGGACCTACCTAAGTTGCATGGTTCTTTCTCCCTCTGCAGCTGTCGGAGGAAGGAGAGATCGTCAATTTGCTATTGATGAAGATACTCAGTTTCCTGGGCATTAAATGTAAAAGACAGGAGCCTGGAAGCAGCGGTGAGCAGCCTGAGTTGCTGTCAGAGGCCTGGGCCCCTCAACCTGTATCAGCTGTGCCCCAAATTTAAGCTGTTGGTCCAGGCACAATCATCTGTAGAGTAGGGGAGGGCCAGCATCTTAGGCCTACACTTACCAGTGATTCTATCATCTCTCCAGGTCAATATTTTTCTGTGTCCATAGAAGAGTTACCAAACCTGGCAAGCAAAAAAAAAAAAAAAGGAAAAATACATACATACCTCCATACAGTTGCTACCACTATCATAAACTGTTTGTTCAAATATATTTTCAACTAGAAATTTAACAAATATTGTCTGGAGTTCGGGGAGGGGGGGGGGTGGGAAATCCCCTCTACAGACTAATTATTTCATCTTCTTGGTCAGTCAGGAGTTGCCTTTGAATGATTCTAGTTCAGGGTTTCCTAAACTGTGTCCAGGAGATGCTAATGGGTGTCATATTAGTTTGCTAGGGCTGCCAGAACAAAGTACCACAAACCGGCTAGCTTAAAACAACAGAAATTTATTGCTCCACAGTTCTGGAGGATAGAAGTCCAAAATCAAGGTGTCAACAGGGCCGTGTTCCTTTGGAAGGCTCTCTTTTAGCTTCTAGCGTATGCCAGCAATCCTTGGCGTTCCTTGGCTTGTAGATGCATCATTCTAACCTCTGCCTCTGTTGCCACATGGCCTTCTTCCCAGTATGGGGTCTGGGACTTCAACCTACCTCTTTAGGGGCCACAATTCAACTCATGACAGGTGTCATCCTCCCCCAAATGTTTCTAGATCAAACGTGGGAAACACTGGATACACAAGTGCTTTAGCATGGGAATTGTTAGAGCTTTTAATATGCTAAATGTGCACTGTGAGTCTTCTGGGATGAGATGAATGTGAGCAATAAAGTGTGTAATGATTCCCAAACCCCTATGACCATGGCTTCTGGTATTGAAGCACTTCAGTCAGGGCTAGTGTTCCTTAGGCAATACTTTGGGAATCGTTGATCTACACCAGTGGTTCTCAATATTGGCTACACGCTAGAAACCTCAGACTTCATCCCAATTGATCAGAATCTATGGGTCTCAGGCATCAATATTTTTTAAGCCCCCCCAGATGATTCCAATGTGCAGTCAGACTTGATAAACATGCTTTAAATTCTGAGAACCACAGACCTAGATAATAAAAGTCTTCCAGGTGACTGTGTGGATAAGTGCACATTTCCCCTCTCCTATGCAGGAGAAGCACCTCACAAGTCCTCTCCAATTCACCCTGTCTTGTCTCTCCTCCTAACACACCCATTGTAGCAGGTACTCTAGGTAGCCTGCCCCAAATCCATTCCATGCTTTCCTCCTTGCTATCAGAATCCCAATTTGTTCAGGTAGCCCCTACCCCTACCCCACATGACTCATGGTAAGGTGACCCTGTGGCCACCTCAAAGTAAATCTTGATTTGTCTTAGCAATAGTCCTTGACAGGGCTTCCCTGGTGGCGCAGTGGTTGAGAGTCCGCCTGCCAATGCAGGGGACACGGGTTTGTGCCCTGGTCCGGGAAGATCCCACATGCCACAGAGCGGCTGGGCCCATGAGCCATGGCCGCTGAGGCTGCACGTCCGGAGCCTGTGCTCCGCAACGGGAGAGACCACAACAGTGAGAGGTCCGCGTACCGCAAAAAAAAAAAAAGAGATGGGCTCTAGTGCTGGACATTGTCTGGTCTAAGACTGCTGGAACTCTGACAGCTACCTTGAGGCCATGGGGAACAATATGAAGATGGCAGAGCAGAAAGATGAGAGGAACATGCACACTTGATGAGGTCATTAAACAGCTAGTTTAACGGTGAAGCTGAACTACTGCCAGCCTTGTATCTGGATGAGAGCTTAAATATCCTTTTATGATGGCTGAACCAGGATCCCACCTAACTACCATGACAATCAAAAGCCAGAATCCTTTATAAACAGAGAGACACATAATGTGGCAATACACATAAGACCTTGGGGATTTATCTTCTATCCACCCCAAAGCCCATCATCCATTCTTTATTGTGTCAGGTATGAACATGAGCTATATAAGCAGATAAGCATCAAATAATTCATACCAAGTACACACATGTCTCCCGAAAGTCTGGTACAGAAATCTACCCAGACACATAAAGTCCGTTAGTTTAAGTAGGAAAAGTTCTAAGATCTAGAGAAGTTATAAATTCTTCATTTCTCTTTCCCATCTTTCCCATCCAATCTCCACTTCTCTGTTGACTATAAATATCAAATTGGAAATTTCTTGTTGTGAGAGAGAAAAATATATCTGCTCAAAGAGATGAGAAGGCCCCCCTGAGACACCTAAAAGAAATGACCACCTGCATTTTCAGGTGCCTGTACCAACTGTGCAATGAGATGACCTTTCACATTCCAAGCCATGGATGTTACAAAGATAATCAGACGGGAAAAAAATTTTTTTTAATCCACAATGCTTGTTACATTAAAAAAAAAAAGACACACTTCCTATTGCTTTGGCATAAGGGCCCACGACATAGCCCACACATTGATATGTGACCTTGTTCTTCATACCAAATGAGTTAGTGAAGCTAGGAATAAATATTTTAGGGCATGGCTTGCATTATGCTGCAGTGGCTTGTAACAAAACAATAAAAACAGAACACTGACATTATGGAAACCAGACAAGATCTGGAGTTTACAGTAGACCACTGTGAGCCAGTCAGCATCCCAAACAGCGGCAAGTAGAACAGAGCTTAAGAGCAGTTGATTGTGAATCAGACTAGAGGGCAAGTTCTGCTACTGCCACCTAGTAACTGCTTAAGTCATAAAATGCCTTCCTCATTCCACTCCTGGGAAAGTTAGTTAAACTTTCTGAGTCTCCAGCTCTTCATCTACAAAATGAGTATAATACCTACCAGAAGGGGTTTGGAGAAGATTACAAAGATAATATCTGCACAGCCCCAGCACATAACAAGGGCTCAATAAGTGGCTATGATTTACTCAAGAGGAAAACGGAGCACAGCAGCCCTTGCAAGCCACCACACACATGTGCCCACATCCCCAATTTTATAAATGAGGCAGAATCTCACTGCAACATTTGGGTCGCCCAAACACAAACACTCACACACACACACACACACACACACACGCTTCAAGGTACTCATCCTGTAATACTGAAGGTGTAGAGACTGAAGTGTTTTTCACTCCCCCGTTTCTTTGCTGATTAATGCCCACTCCATAAAATCCATGTTAAAGGTGAGATCTTTCCTCAAACCTAATTATTTTGTCTCCTTGGATTGGGTGGGACATGTCTCCTGCTTAAGTAAGGAACTGATCATGCTGGGTCTCAACTCTCTGCCATTTGATTGCTCCTGCAGTCCAGACGCCACCAAGAAGCCACTCCTACCCCTTCAACAAGTCCTTGCCCCTCTGAGTTTCATGATTCTGTCTGTCCCCTCTTTGGGGACCGTGGGCCTTTTGGGATCTGTAAAGTAATAAAGTGGGTTCCTAGACTGTTTTCAATATTTCAAAAAGTCAAAGAGAAACTGCATTTGTGTCACCGAGTCTTTGGCCAATGCCCAATAACCATCTTTGGCTGGCATGATTGTTTGGACCTACTATGAATCCTGCTCTGGGTGACCCTGATCCTCGTAGAAGGGTGGGAACTAATCTTTTAACAGAACTGGGAGCACCCTGCCTTCCCCAGGGCCCAAGGGCACTGGAATGCGCTGGCCCAGCAGTACCACCCCTGACTGGAGCCCATTTCACCGCCCGGCTGGGTCGCGGAGGCAAGAAGGCCTGACCCAGCGCATTCACTCGCCCAGAAGCAATGCCGGAAGGCGTGGTTCCACGCCTCCCGGGAGGCCCCGCCCCTGACGGCCGGCCCGGCCCGGCCCGCCCCCGTACTAGTCCCCGCCCCTCGCCGCAGCCCCTTCCGGGCCACAGGGCGTTCCGAGTGTCACGCCCCTCCCGCCTGCCACCCCATCAGGCCCCGCCCCTCCCGGGGCCCCGCCCCTGCGCGCCGGTCCAGCCAGCTCGCTCCGGCTCGCTCCGGCCCGGGGCCGCCCCCTCCCCGCCCCGCCCCCTCCCCGCCCCGCCCCCTCCAGCCGGGGGTGCTCTAGATGCTGCGCGGAGACCCTCTGCACCCCTGCGAACATGGCGCTGCGAGTGGCGCGGAGCGTGCGGGCCGCGGTCTGCAGCCTGCGCGCCATCTCTGCGCCCAACGCGCCCTGCCCGCCGCGGCCTTGGGGACTGCGGGCGGGCGCCGTCCGGGCGCTGCGCACCGGTCCCGTTCTGCTGTCGGGTAAGTGCGGGCGGGCACGTGGGGCGAGCCAAGCTGACTCGGGGTAAGGGGCTGGGGCCTCGATCCTCACCTCGGGTCCCCGCCGCTGGTCGCCCCGGTCAAGGGAGGCGACCCCTGCACACGCTTATTGTTGTTGGGATCCCGTGTCGCGAGGCCGCTACTCCCTGAGTGACTTAAACGACCCCGCAGTCTTTGTCCTGCGGGTTGGGAGGAGGGGGGGAGGAGGGCGGGGAGGCCTGGAGAACACGCGCGGCCGCCGTGTCCCGGCTGCTTCCGGCAGGAGCGTCGGCCGCTCGCTGCTGGAGACCCGGGCGAGCGTCGCCGAGCTCCTTCCTGACCTTAGATTTCTAGCATTTGTGAGCATCGTGGACCCTAAGAGTGAAGACAAATAATAGGCTTTACTTTGCTACACGGATCGTCACTGAATTCTGAAGTAAAAGTAAAGCAAGAGCATTTATTGAAATTTAAAGCACTGGGTCTAGATTTTTACCAGCTAAAGCTGGCACAACTTTGGAGACAGCTATTTCCTAAAGCAGTGAGATAAACTCTACTGGACTCCACAGAAGACGTTCTACTGAAGTCTGTATCGAGTCGTGAATGTGTGTTGGGCTGAAACGAGGCCTTAGTTACATGGACTTGAAGGAACAGGGAGACCTGCCCGTAAATGTCTTGGCCATCTGTCCTACTTTAGCACGCGTTACCGCAGAGGAAAAACCGTTTTACTTCATGCACCAATACCTGAGACATTAACTGCACCTCCGAGAACTCAGGCTTCTTGCTGACAGAGCGCAGGTCTGTGGTGGCTGTTCTCTCATTAAGTTCGTTGTTTTAGAAACCTGTTTGGGACTAGAAAAGTTGATAGGTTTAAGTCCAAAGTCAAACATAATGAAGCTTACCTCCTCCCCACCCCACCCACCCATTATAATCTCTCAGCTCTGTTAGTGCCGCATTTCAAGGGAAGAGCATTTCTCAGATAAGAACTGAATTTCAAACCTATGTATTTTGGTTATTCATTGTTACACTATCACTAGCTTTTTGCAGTTTCCTGTTATCTAGTTAAATATTGCCCAAGATATCAATACCCATGATCTGGTTGAACACCTGGGTTTTTAATACTAAAGAGACCGAGTTCCAAAATTTCACTCCACCTCTTATGAGCTGTGACATCTTGGGTAGTCACTTAAGTTCTCTGAGTCTGTTTCCCTAATCAGAAAAATGGAAATGATAATCCATACCTTACAGATTTGTTGGATGAAATGAAATAATTTAACTGCTGTACATATAGTTTGATGCATAGTAAGTACTTGATAAATGTTACTTCTTATTAAATATTAGTGTATAGACTCAAATAAATAGTGGAAAGTTGATCAAATGTTAATGTATTTTATTTGACTCAGTGATTGAAGGGAGGAGAATGCAAACTTCTCATAAATTACTCAACACACCTAATTTTGGGGGGGCCAAAACCCATGTTTTTCAAGACTCAGAGGAAAAGTAATTATTTACCTAATCTCCTGTTCCCTTTTTTCCTGTTGGGCCAAGGGTTAAAGGAGAATTGTACGAATCATCGTCTTTTGCTTAAATTGCATGGCCTAGTACAAAGACTTCATGACCTTTGAAGTCAAGTGGACCTAGGTGCATTTAGCTTAGCAATGTTGCCGCCTTTTCCTCTAAACTTGTGGTTGCTCAGTTGCTAAATTGAATGTGAGAGCACTCTTACTCCTAAGATTATCTTTACAATTAGGTAAGATGGCAAGACCAAAGTCAGGACAGTAATTTCAGAGAAGTCATATGTTTATGGTTGTCCAGTCCTTACTTTTAAAAGGTATATTAGATTTAAACTGCCAGTTTTAGAGTTGTGACAGAATGTTAGGGAGAATTGAGTCCTGTAGCCAAATAACTATATATTAGATGTTTTGCTGAGCATCCTCTTAAACTTTAAAAAAAAAAATTACTTCACTCCAGCTTTTGAGTGCTTTCTATGTGCCAAGCACTGTGTTTTGAACTGGGAATACAGATGAGATAAAGCCTGCTCTTGCTTGCTTTGTACTTGGTCTACTGCCTGGGGGAAACTGTAGCCTGTTAAGTGCTATGAGTGTGTGGGGGGAACGGTGTGGGAGAGTGGTGCAGAGTGCTGTGGGAGCAGGTTGGACGGCCCAGGAACCCAGGCTTGGAGGGCTGCATAAGGCATCTGGCAGGCAGAGCTGCTAAACTGAGATCTGAAAGTCAAGAAAAGGCGGTGGGGAGAATGGGTTGCAGTCAGAACACTAAGTACAAACACACTTTCTTAGGGAAACACACGTTGACCTGAAGCATTTAGTAATTTGAAGTGGAATGAAGCAAAGCAAGTTACTTTGTGGCAGATTCTGCAACCTCTTACACTGAGGAGTATGATATTAAAGTTTTTTAATGACTGGGAGGAAAAGAAATACTCTTTATTTACACTCTGCTGTGTATCAGAGCTGTGTAATCAAGGCAGTTTAATGTTGTTTTAAGTACAGTTATCTTTTGGGTAAGGGGTAAGAGTGAACCAGCAATGCTTATTGTAAAACAGTATTGAAATTAACGAGCCATTTTCTTATTAACTTCCGATGTAGTATTTTTGGAAAAATACCGCTTCACTTCAGAATGTGATATATATTTAGGAAGGTAAGTTTTTTAAAAAATATATTATTTTAAGCAAGTACTTTTCACATTAAATCGTAAGGAATTTTTTTCACATCACTCGAACTTTGGTAGGTCTTTCTTCCAAGAATCCTTGAGTATTTTGGCCATCCGTGTATTTGAAGAGAAGCAGCTCATAAAGCCAAGGCCTAACCTGTCCAATGAATGTCGAGCAGAGGCTGCCTTTCTGCCATTTAATGTCTTAGCTCTGAGGTGACTATTGAGTTCTGATCGTATAGTTTGCTTCTTTAAATGATGGTAGTCACTTTCCTCAAGGGGAGACTTGAATTCATTTAAGGTGGAATCAAGAACTTAGACAAGCTATAATTGTTCCAGGTCAATTTTATTCCTGTTAAGATTCCACACAGCTCTACCTAAAGAGGCACATAATTTTTTAGGTTAAATCATTTATGAGCAGTCTTTATGTTCCTCCCAAAAGCTCATCACTCTTTCTTCAGAGGGACAGACTTGCTTTGTATGACAGACCCGTAATAGATAAATATATATTTGAAATGTGCTCCAAAATTTGTGTGTGTGTGTGTGATTTAGACTGAGTAATGTGAAGGGCAAGTAATCATATCTCCAAAAGATGCAAAGGTGTTCACATCAAGCCATCTTTGCCTAAATGACACCAATGTTGAGATGTGTCTTCTCACATGATCTGTTTTGTCCTGGGCAGTATACTGTTGAATGGCAATGCCAATAAGTCAAACACAAATACTGGGAAGGTCTTGCCCTTTGACAGCACTGATATGTAAAAAAATGCTTTTTAAGAAGTGATGCCACTGCTTTTCTGAACTATTGGTCTTCTATTTAGGTCGTAAATTCACAGACAAACATGAATGGGTAACAACAGAAAACGGTGTTGGAACAGTGGGAATCAGCAATTTTGCACAGGTATCGGATTGTCTTGCAATATTTCAGTCTGCTCTTGCCTAAACTGGATTGCTTTACCTTTTAAAAATTGTTTATTCTGCCCCTTAGTATTATTTTGGGCCCCTTAAAGGCCCTTAGAAGAACATCAGTCATAGATGGAAAAAGTAAAACATAGTTCAGTTAGGGCAGCGGATAGTGTTTTTAGAGATATTGAAAGGTTAACACTTAAAATTAAAAATTAAATTCAAGAGAGAAATGTCTGTTTCATATTGGGGCAGTTAAGGAAAAAAGCAGAGCAAGCAAAACGGCTGGAGTGTTGACAGTGTTTTGTGGATAGCAATGATATACACATGATCTGGGGACTTGAAGAGGGAACACCTAGATTGGCACAGATTACACAAAGATAAACCTTTTATTTAGAGTTTGTCTCTACTAATTCCCTTATTGCCACTGATCCCATATTGAGATATTGTGTAAAAGAAAACTTGAGAAGCCAAATAGCAGCATGCATCACTGATTTTCAACGATCTCTGGGTGGGGTGGGGAGAAGGGGCGGGGGATATTAACTGATGGGAGTATACAGTATTCTTCAGAAATGTTGCGATCTCAGGTACTGAGAATCCATGACAACTGTATCTTCATTGGCATATCTGTACCTACTGAGGCCCAGTACAGCATGCTTTGTGAAATACTGCATAAGTATTGTCCTCCTCTCCTGGAGTGTATGAGGGGGAATCAGCTACATGGAAAATGACATACAAAACATTATGTGACGGATGCCTTGAGTAGTACAAGGCGTTGTAACCCACTCACCTGATGGAGAGATCACTACTTATTAGTCAGCAGATGCAGTAGGGGAAATGGCCTCAGTAAAGTTGCAGAGGTGGAAAAGCACAAAGTGTGTTCTTAGACGAGCCAGTAATCTTTTAGGGGGCATATGGTTTGTGACGGGGTCACTGCCACCTCTGGGAAATCCAGCTAGTGGCCTGTTTTCTTGCAGATCCTGAGGTAAGAATAATTTTGCATTTTTAAAGGGTTATAAGAAAAACCAAAGAATTTGGCCCCTCAAGTGTAAAGTATGTACTGTGTGAATTAAAGGGATTCAGTGTTTGGCTTGTTCCTATTTACTAGGTTTAATTTGATTTCTTAGAGGTTTGGTGCTTTGTTTTTGTCTTTTAAAGGAAGCTTTGGGAGATGTTGTTTACTGTAGTCTGCCTGAAGTTGGGACAAAATTGAACAAACAAGGTGAGTGTTTTTCTCATCTTGGTATGTCATGATTCATGCCATGAATTTTCTTTATCTTGCATAATAACTTGTTTGTACCCAGGATCATTTAGAGTGCTTTTTCCTCAAGTAACAGAAAACTTACATAAGAGTAGATCAACCAACAGGGGTTTATTATATCTCATACAAGCAATCTCGGAAATAGGTGGATATAGGATTGACTCAGTGGCTCAGTGAAGATTATCAAGGAGACAACCTCTCTGGTACTTTTTCTGCCTCAGCATGTCAGAGGTTACAGAATGGCAGCAGAACCTTCAAGCATCATGTTCTCAATGACAGTATCCAAAAGTAGGAAGAGGACAGGCTCTCTTTGTCTCTTTATCGGGAACAAATATCTCAACCAGAAATCTCTCAGATCACCTTTTCTTTTATCAATTTAGCCAAGTCTGGGTCGTATTGCCATGCCTAACTGTAAGGAATGATGGTGAGGAGAATAATGAGCATTTTCAGACTTTACAATGGAAGGCAGGAAGTCGAGGGAAATGGCTCTTAGCACCCTCCCCGCCACACGTTGATATAGTATAGTATAGCTGAAGTCTCTGAAGTTTAAAAAATAAAATCTGTCTTTCTTTGGAGGCGGTAAAGAATATCAGGATAGAACATGGGCTTCTGAGTCAGAATCTGGTTTTAAATCCTGGCCTCTCAACATAGCTGTGTGATTTGGGAGAGATTACTTAATGTAGGTCTCATCTGTAAGTTGGGATAGTAATACTTACCTCATAGAGTAGTTGTAAGGATTAAATGAAATTAGCATAATAACCAGCATAAGATTAGTGCTTGATAAATGTCAGCCAGTGGAACCACGTATATTATTATTCATGGGTTCCTTGACATATGTCAGGTAGCCCTACAGAATTTAAGTATCTGTTTTCTTTAATCATGTTTTATTTACTGTGTATGCACTTTGCTGTTCTCAAGCAGATCAGAAATTTCTTAACATCTCTTTATAGCAAGTGAGAAGCATGAACCTACTTTTTGTGCTTCTATTATAGAAAAAATTCTATTAAACTAAATATGTTGAG